TGAGGATGAGGATGGAGTGTATGAAGAACTTTTGCCGAGACACCTTCACGGCCTAAGAAAATGAAGACGTGAATCTAGATCGAGACAGTGGAGGGTTTGAAAAACTCAAGATACCAAGAACAACATTTTCATAACTTGCTTCGTTTTTTGGGATACAGGGCGAATTTGAAAATGTTGCATTATGGGACCCCCTTGTATCTCAGTTATCTTTCAATTCATAGAGACAGTAAAAACTGCCTTTCACGCATTTTTTCACGTAGAATCCAGTGTAGTAGTTAGATTTTTGTAATAAGCTGTTATTATTCAGATATTAGTCAAGTTATGTTTTTTTTCAATAGAACACCCTGCATATTTCTTTATAATATTTGAATAATCGATGCTTGGCGATTTCAAAAAATTTATAAAACACCCATACGATATTTCGAGTAATAGCCATGAAATTAGATGGTTTCTTGTTTTTCAGTGGATCTTCCATCGATGGGCCTCGTGAAATATGTGGCAACATTGTCTATATCACAAATTTTTGATATTTACCTTATTGTTGACACAATTTTTTGTCACACACTAGTTTCAATTTCAACAACATTCAACATTCACCTATATTCAGCACTATTTATTGAATATAGCTGGGAAGAAGTAGGTGCTATCATAAAAAAGTGAGTGTAAAATGGTTCTTATTCCTTGTGGCCTCCTACCTCGAATTTACAAATGTTTCATAATATCATAGCGAATAGTAATCCAGGATATGATGAAAACTACAAAAAAAAATATGGTAACTCGCTTTCTTTTCATTCAGCCACCTACTTTATAAGGTCCACAGCTTTCATAGTCCAATAGTGCTGAATATTGGGAAATGCATGTTGAATGTTCGTGAAATTGAAACTAATGTGTGACAAAACACTGTAACAGCAACAAGGTAAATATGAAAATTGGTGGCATGGAAAATTTTGCCACGAATTTAGAAGGTGAATCGATGGAATATCTACTGAAAAAGTAGAAATTATCTAGGTGCATGCATAATACCTGAAATTTATCATAAGTTTTATGGCACCGAGCATCAATGGTTCGAATATAAAAAAATATACAGGGTGTTGTAGACATTTTGAGTAGTGTTACGATTGAAAGAAAAAACAATTTCAGATACAATTGAAATTAGACATGAAAGGAGAATCTTACGAAAATAAAGATGCTGGTAATTTACGTTCTGTCTGAAAAGAGTTATCTATAGACTACGAGTTGGCAAATTTCAGGCTGACGTCAATAGAAAGGCAAACACATAATTTTGACATGTAATTTCACACTTTTCAGAACTGACGGAAGTTTCAAAACCTCTTAGTTCCCGTAACCAGTTGCGTGAGGTAAGATCTCACATAATGGTGATGAATTGTTCATTTCAACACCAGTTATGAAATGGAAATATGGATGGACGAAGAGAATAGTGCATTTTGTGCTGCTTCCTCGATATCACTTGGGAAATCTGAACTTGAATCAGCCATTTCCACTAATGTAAATATCAAACGAGTCTATTTCTTGAATTTCGTCGCTGATTTGTGACCATATTATTTTTTGACGGCTACTTCAAATTGACGGGCGTAGTCAACTTGCCTACTAAGAGAAATGATTTTTGTACATATTCGGTCGTAGAACTAAAGTAGAAGCGAGTGTAGAATCATTTATTTCTGTTCAAGCAGAATTATTCATCAAAATTAGAAAAGATATTGCACGTAACATGTTAGGAAACGCATTTTGTGTAACTCTGTGTTTTGCGGAATCTCGCTTCGCTCGAACTGCAAAATTCCATCGTCACACAAAATGACGCGTCACTGGGTTACGTAAATATCTATTTCAAATGTTATTTACAACGTGTTTAAGGCAACTTGCTACTTCCTCCCAATGACGGCTAAATAGTAAAATATTAAGCCGTCATTGCTTTCTCCATTGAACTAACATCAAAATCAGCTCAAAAAATTATCAAAACCAACTATTCTTTGAAATTATTCCTCTTTATAGGAGTCAAGTCATAATTTTTGTCGGTTACTGAACCGAAAAGATACATATAATGATGAAGATGGAGATCCCTAATTTCGAGTGACAATGGAAAATGAGAAAACTCCACCGCCCCGTGTGAGAGTCGAACTCAAAACATCTGGATTACATGCCCAACGCTCTACCAATTGAGCCAACGGGTCGGCCGTCGTTCAATCGGCAGGGACAGGCCCGGACTGGCTTCTATTTTGCTACCGGGCATTATCTTTGACCGGCCCCCAATTCTGAGGTCTGTTTTCTACGGTATAAATAATCGTTATTTCATTATGTTTATCCATTAAAAAATCAAATGAAAACATTTTCATTCCTCCGACAATAGATAGAACAGAACATAAATAAGAAAAAATGAATTAACTGATACATTTAGTTATAGTGAAATTGTGAATTTCAAATATACTCTAGATTTCTCCTCAAAGCTGGTGCCATTGCTGCTACGCCCTCTATTATATCTGAATTTTTTAATTCGCTTAATATTGTCTTTTCCACAAACATCAACATAAAGGCTTCCAGCTTCTCTTGTGTCATTGAACTCCTCAGCCTGTTTTTTATTATTTTCAGTTTAGAGAATCCAGTTTTCCATGTAGTTGAAATCTGCGTTCTAGAGTACCAGCGACCGTATCAAAAATGACATGATGGACTTCAACCATATATTTTTCTGTTGCAGTTTTCAAAGTTCTATGTGTGAATATAATTCACCTGATGAAACGTTGGGCTTGTGAATTTTTTTTCTGGTAGAGAATCTTCTACAACTGATACAGAATTTTGTCTCTCTATAGTTCTTCATCAGCAATTGAAACAAATCTACTTGCTGATTTGTGAATATTCTCAAAATCTCCAGATTTTCTTTTAATATCTTGTAAAACATCTAAACCGTTTGTTTGCAAGTATTTAGATAGAGAACTCGTGTATTTGAATATTCGTAAAAATATAATGGCTGTAATAATGGTTTCGAAAGCTAAAAATTTTTGCAATATATCGTTGGCTTTTTTTCTCAAAGTTACGTTGTACTGCTGTGAACTAGAGAGATGCTCTAAGGTTAGAATCAATTCAACATATATATAAACCTTTAGAAGAATCACTATTTAGTTCATCATAGTCGCCAAAAATGTTTTTCAAGGTATCAGATTACGATGACCATCTGGTCTCACCTATTCAATCTTTTATGTTGCTTGCTCCGGAAGGTGCGCGACAACCGAGAGGTCGGGGAAACCCCGACTTCTCGCGCGCCTTCAATTCCCCGATTGCTTCCGAGTCTAGGCGCCGTGCCTGGGCTCACGTTCAGCGTAAAAATATCTATTACAATTGAGAATCTGCCTATTTGGATTTAGATTATGAGACTGATTTGTGATGAAACCGATATTCGTGTAGAATCAGTGCCTCACAAAATTATCTACCGTGGCCCCCCGGCCCCGGTTTGACGCCGGCCCACCGGGCATTTGCCCGGTTGCCCGCCGGGCCAGTCCGGGCCTGGGCAGGGAGATCAATTTCTCATCTCACACCAGGCGGCATAATTATCTTATTTGTAAACAAATCAAGTTTAACTACGTTTATCAATGAAGAAGTAGGAAAACCCAAAGGCAGGTAATAAGTGAGGTGTACTTACCCAAACGGAAGTGAAGTCCCGGGTAAGATTATCAGCTTTAACTATGGCAGGTACTATATAAGAATGAAATATGACCTAGAATTGCGAATTGTGACAGTTTTCACCATTTAGTCGGTCGGTTAACTATTTGCTTTGGTTCTCAAAATGACATACGCCCACGTGTATGGAAATAACGAACTGGTAGATAGGCAGTTGAAGATCCACATGTGACTAAGCGAACTAATATTCAACATCGCTTTTCGATCAATCTGGGGTGGAGTGGTGAACGAAGTTTTGTTGAACTTAATGAGTTGCCGTCAAGACTGAATGGACTTTCCTATTCAGAATTTTTGCAGCATGATCTAGATGCTCTTTCAAAACATTTGCCATTGGGACTTAGACAAATAATGTTTGCATGATTGAGCTCCTATAGCCATAACTGTGCATTAGTTCGGAAATTTCTGAACGGCGAATTCACACAAAAATGAATTTGTCGGAAAAGGCCACTACCGTGTCCACCACGCTCTCCGAATCTGAATCTGATGGACTGATTTGTGTGGGGTTTTTTGAAAGATTTGGTTTGATCGCCATCGTTAGGGGATATCGAGAACCAAGGGAATTTTAGAGAAAAAATGAAAAAAATGCGGTTCAAGTAATGCGACAACAAGGTAGTATTCAGTGGGCTTGCGAATCATTACTACGCCGTGAGAGACTCTGCTTAGGTGCATGGGTGGCGCTTATTTTGAACACCTGTTGTGAACTAAAATCGGTGCATCTCAAGAAACAGTGGATGAAAGAATAAAAACATAAGATGGCATCAACAGGGCGAAATTAGTGCGAGAGAGCTCTGGTGTACAAGGGAACCAAACCAGTACTTCCCAAACTATGGTGAGTCAAATGATCAATATTTTGAAAATTTTTGTTAGCTCTAGAAATGTTTTTTATTGCCATTTATTGTGTCTCAATGTGTGATCGAACACCCAATTTCATTTATTAAATACCCTGTATGTATCAGTTCTACCAACTCTGACTTTACCTTCCAGCAGCCCTATATGTTTCTTGTTTCAGTTAATTTTTCTGTTGAATATATGTTTCTCCAATTTTGTGAATATTTCCATTTTTGTGATAATTTGAATTTCACTTTTCATTTCGATATTTTCATGTGGTGAAAGGAAACCGATCATATTCATTTCATGGCGACTTGCATTTTTAGACTGTCTGACGGGTTCATCAGACAGTCTAAATATTTAGCGGTCATCGATGCAGTACTAAGTCTCTTGTTCTAGTATTTTTTCAAAGTAGAATCTAGTACTCAATATTTTAGTACAGGAACAGCCCTGGTAGAGTGGTTGTCGCTGTCAAACTGTCAAGCAGTATAACCTCAAACAAAAACTGACAATTTTAGGATTTGAATTTTGTAAATAAATAATGTTTAATAGTGATCCTCAACAGTGATTCAAAGATCCTCCTTGAGCAAGATCGGGCCAAGCTACATAACAAGCTGGGAAAAATGGATGAGGAAATATCAGACGGCTCAAAGACATGGGTAGGAAGTGATATATCGGAACTTTGCCTTGGAAAGGGGCCCTGGAGCTTCATTGTCACTCCAGTAAACATTTCCAAATACCATGCTGTGCTTTACGAATTGCCAGTCACACTCGACGAACCCCCGAAACCTCATGAGTCTGTCCAACCTAAACTTTGGGATGATGAACATGTTCGGATGCCATTTTCTGAGAAAAATCTGTTTCCCATCACAGAAGTAAGTTGAATTAACACCATATTGCTTTCAGAAGAATGAAGATCATTATCAAGCGGGCTCTTCCTAAAATTCACGAATTTTTCATTGAAATAAAACAATTTTAACTCAAACCTTCCTGCCAAATGATGCTCACATTGAACCTCATTTAACTTATGTTTCATTTAGTTGATTTCATATAGGAAGTATAACTGTTGAGTTATGTTGTGGTTACTAACTCATGACTTGATTCAAAGTGAAAATGGAATGTAAATTAAATACCTACAAATAGTTCCTATGAACAGAGCATAAGTAGAATTGTGTTATGTTATCAGTCAATATTTATTTATTTATTAATTGTCACCAGAACCTTTCAGTTGATATTCCAGTGAGGGGACAACATATTTTGACAAGAAAACTTTCATATTTTTTGCATGTGACACCTGCTTGATTTGTGATGTATCATTTTTCACGAATTTTTCATTTTTGAATTCAGGGGATTGTTTTATACATACTCTAGGAACTTTTTATCATCAAAATAACAAAATATACAGGTTGTCCTATTTAAAAATCAAGGGATAACACAAATGTTTTGGTATACTTGCTATACCTATACCCCCTAAATTTCAAAATCTGATCTTTAATGAGTCAAAAGTTACAGCACTGGCGTTTTTTACTTTTTTTGTTCACTTCTCTGTATATTTCATTTGATATAAATTTCATTTGATTATTTCAATATTGCTATTAATTTTTTTCCAAATTATTCATTAGTTCATAAATTTCAAATCAAAATTCAAAACTCTCAGCTTCATAAACCACTAGGTACTTATACATTTCAAATGAAAAATAATATTGTTTTGTCCATTTATTTTGTCAGAAAGAAATTGAAAATATCAAATTCAATTTTGGCACAAGACAATTCAATTTCTTCATTGCAAATATTTCAGCCTTACGAAACAATTGGAGATTGGGCCCACCAGCAATTCCTTGAAAATAAAAATGAATTTTACTTGAGAACAACATATTTTGTGTATATTATTATGATGAAGTTATTTTTAACTAAAATATAGAGGTATTTCACTATAGAAATTCCAGGTGTTTTCGAGATTTTCAATATTTCCCTCAATAATAATTGTCTTTCACAAATGCATCTCATCATCTTTGCAGAACGGCATAAATGTGATAAAACTTCGTTGGAATATAATTAAGGATACATTCTCTAAGCCGATAACTAACGGCGATGAACTAGAAGCAGCTATCAGATCATACAACAGCAATCTACCCAAATTGGAGGCTCTTCATCGGTTTCTAGAAGAGGTTTGTTCATTTATATCATATGATCTTTTAATCTCTAGGTAGAGCTACAGGATGAAATTCTCAATTAAATCAACTAGGTGCTGTATGGTGTTGGTAACAAAGCCTACAAGAATACATTCTTCATAAATTACCCATCTCATAAACAGTAATATCCCAAAACCATGACAAATAGCAGACTGTTATTATCTCCATAATTCTATCGAGAGTGACTTGTAATTTAACAATTTGATGAGATCATTATTATCATTATCAATCATTAATTTTAATTCCATTATTATTATTGTTTATATGGTCAAATTGAATTGTCTCAAAATACAAGATACTGGAGATGAATTCAAGAAAATAATAGTATTTACTTGTCATGGGCTAGTAATGTTTATGAAGATTACTCCATGAACATCATAAAATATACCTGTTCATGTAAGTTTATTTCATTATTATCAAATTTCGGATATCAGGAGAGTTGGGGTGGTAGCACAAAATTCATAGTTTTTCTACTGGCAAAAAGACAAATTGTTTCCAGGCAGACTGTCTACTCTTCTTGGTATTTTCCTCGGTATTTCCTGGTAATGATGCACATGTGATCACTGACTTGTGTAATGGAAGTTGGCCCGAAACGAGACATTTTTAATTTTCATTGACATAGATTGGTTGCTGATATGTATTTCTTTGTTTATGGCACAAAGAAGGATGAATTTAAAGTACCAGGTGGCCAAAAAGCCTTACCTGAATAGCCGTTTATATCATATAACACATGTCTTCAAATATCAAATTCATGTGTAAATAAAATTAAACTATTAAATTTCCTGAAGAGAGCAGAAGCTTGAAATGGAAGTTAATCATAGTGGATCTGTGTGTTAGAGATGCCTTCTTGCACCCGGAATTTCTGTGTTTTCTGTTGAAATATTCCCATCTCCATTCCCATTGAAATAATATCCGACCCCGAAATACCCCGAAATACTCCAGATACCAATTTTGAATAGAATCGGATCATAATCACAAAACTCGTTCGCCATATTGGAACCGCCATCTTTAATTTCCCAATTTTGACGAAGGAATCACAATTTTCGACCCCAAAAACCCCAGGTTCCAATTTTTAATAGAACAGATCATAATTACGAAATTCGTCCTCCATATTAGATCCGCCATCTTGAATTCCCCCAATTTGACGAAAGAATCATAATCTCCGAATCTGAAAACCCCCAGATACCAATTTTGAGTAGAATTGAACCATAATTACAAAACTTGTTTGCCATAATGGATTCGACATCTTGAATTTTCCGATTTTGACGAAATAATCATACTCTCCGACCCGGAAAACTTCTAGTTACAAATTTTGAATAGAATCGGAATATGATTTAGAAAACTTTTTCGCCATAGTGGATCCGCCATCTTGAATTTCCCAATTTTGACGAAAAATGTATCATATCCGACCCTGGCAAGCCCCCGATTCCAATTTTAAATGAAATCAAATAATAATTAGAACACTCGTTTGCCATGTTGGATCCGCCACCATGAATTTCCAACCTCCATTTCCCAATTTTGACGAAATAATCATACTCTCCGAGATACTCTCTGACCCCGAAAACCTCTAGTTACTAATTCTGTTTTTTTCATGTTCTGGTTCCCACGAAAAGGGATATCCTGTAATGTTCAGAGAACATCGTGAGAACCAAGGAAAATGAGGTAGGAGTTGGTTTTCTTGAATTTCTGGAAGTTATATGCTTCGGGGAACACCTCCCTTGGCAATGTGTTCCAGAGCCTCGTCTTTGGAGAGAGATGTTCTGTAGGTCTCCAAAGTGACCACGAATTGCGGATTATGATCAAAAATCTCGTTCGCCATATTATATTCGCCATCTTGAATTCCCCAATTTTGACGAAAAAATTATATTCTTCGACCCCGAAAACGCCCAGATACCAATTTCAAATGGAATCAGATAATAATTAGAAAACTTGTCCGCCATATTGGATCCAACATCTTGAATTCCCTAATTTTGACGAAGCAATTATAACCTTCGACCCCGAAAACCCCTAGATACCAATTTTGAATAGAATTTGATCATAGTTACAAAACTCGTCCGCTATATTGGATCCGCCATCTGAATTTTGACGAAATAGTTGCATACTCTCCGACACCGAAATCCTCTGGTTACAAATTTTGAATGGAATCGGATCATGATTATAAAAACCGTTCGCCATATTGAATCCGCCATCTTGAAATTTCCAATTTTGAGGGAAAAATTATATCATATATTGTGACAGGAATTTTCCTGTGTAGCATTGGTATTGGTATTGGTAAGTGTGGATGGTGACAGATACGCTGTGACCTGATAGATCTATAGTGACCCATCTTCTTCTGCTATCTCAAGGTTTTCTTGTTTATAGCAGCCCCTCAAGCTTCAATTATTTCAGAAACCTGAGGATTTTGGGAGGATCTGTTTGTGGTATTTCTCCCACGGTCAGCTGTTATGTTCCCAGTATATTCAATCATTTGTGGTGTACAGCAAAACACTCCAGCAAGATGTGGTGGGATGTTTCTGTATGTTCCCCGCAGAATCTGCAGGTGCAGTCCTCCTCTAAGCCAAGCTTCCCTAGGTGTTCTTTGAGTCTACAATGCCCCATTAGAAATCCCGTTATGGCTTTGAGACTAATTTTGCTGAGATTGATCAGTGTCTTCGATCTTGCTCGGTTGAAATTTCCGAGGGGATCTTTGGCCTGCCGCAGTCCTTAAAGTCTTTGCCAGTGTGTGGATCTCATTGTTTCTTTAGCTTCATTAAGATCTTCTTGGATATAAGAGTTTCCAAGGCCGCAGAATGATTCTGGTCCAATCAGTGTCGTTGATGCTCCTTTTCGTGCCAGGATGTCTGCTTGTTCATTTCCCTCCACTCCGATGTTCCCCGGCACCCATAAGAGGATTGCCTTATTGTTCCTGCCTAGATTGTTGAGTTTGTCTAGGAATTCCCATACCATCTTTGAGTTGATGTTAAAGGAACTCAACGCTTTGATGGCTGCTTGGCTGTCGAAAAGGATAGCGATCTCTTTGTTCCGGTATTTCCTGTCGAGGCTCAACTGAATGCACTTTTCTGTGGCGTGAATTTCCGCATGGAAAACGCTGGGAAACTGGCCCATTGGTTCGGAATATTTAGTGCGAGGCTCAAACACTCCTGCTCCAGTTCCTTCGGGTGTTTTAGACCCGTCCGAATACCATATTATGGTATTCTTTTCCAGTGCTTGGATGCTTAGTTATGTTCGGAAATTTTTCTCAAAATTGAACTTCCTGAACTCTCATCAGTTTGAAGATCGGCGAGGTGTGCACTTCCAGTGGGCAGTGAATCCCATGTGCTCCCCAACCAGTTCTCCTCACCATGATGTGGAGAAGTGTGAGGTCCAGTACGACTTCTAGTGCTGCTGTGGCACTGGACGATAATTTAGAAACCAACTTATATTCCAACCATATATAATCTTTCGTGGTTTCGATATCCTGGATTATTGGTCGCCATTGTATGGAAAATTTGTAAACTTCGAGAGGTAGTCCGGTGACAAGAATTATTATAAAACATTCTGCACTCGCTTTTTTTCTTCGTAGCCACCTGTACCTACTAATTAGGTCCACAGCATTTATAGTCAATTAATAGTGCTAAATAATGAATGTTGGTAAATTGTAAACTAGTTTGTCACAAAAATCTGTCGGCAACAGGGTAAATATAAAAAATCATAATATAATGAATATTGCCACAAATCCACATGGCTCATCCTGTGTTTTTTTCCTTTAATGTTCGAAGAACATCGTACCTAGGTATGATGTGGAAAGGAGGTAGGTAATCGATTTTTTTCAGAAATGTTGGAGGTTTTGAAGTTTTTGGGATTGATGTGTTCTCTGTAGGCCTTTTTCCCAACTCCATACACCAACATTGATGTATTCTTCGACCTTTTGACCTATGCGTGTAAAAAAATGTCGCATAATGTTGCAGGTTTCCGGCGAAGAGGAAATCGACTTTTTTTTCACGGATGTGCTGCCAAAAATTGTCAAGTTGGCCCTGGCTCTGCCCGAACTGGTTCCGGCCGGCATTCCGCTGTTGAGGAAGAATCACTGCAGGTCCGTCAGCTTGTCGCAAGCGCAGGTTAGATGGACAATTTAGGGGCGAGTCGAGCTTTCTCTACCTAAATTGAACTTGGACTTTCACTGCCAATATGATAACTGACTTTAAATTTTTGAAACGATTCTGGATCAGAATGTGACATTTTTGAAAAATTCTACGCCTACTTAATTTTTTTAGTCATTTTCAATATTGCATCTAGGTGGTCATGATGTGATGTTAACTAATCTAAGGACTGGTGATGTCAGAAAATGTCAATGAGAGATTCATTGGTGTGACTCGTGTGACGTATTAGTCCCAACACGCCTATTGTCATTTAGCTGACCAATCACACTGCAACACTGCATAATAGTAAGGTATCAGAGAGAGATTGCCATAGTTTGGGACTAATACGTCACGGATCCACCTTGATATCTGGCTTTTTTAAATATCAATGGAATATGCTGATTTCGAAACGATATAGATTCGATCCCCTTCAACTTGAGCTGAGACGGATTTTTAGTGGGTTAGGTAGAGTAATCAATACGCCAGGAGTAGGAGCTGGAACCGGAACTTATTCGTCCGCGTGATAGTTCGGTTATTATAGAAAACACGAATCTCAATCAATTCATAACAAACAGAAACATCGTATTCATTTTCCTATTATAGAAACGCCAGGTTGCACAAGAATTCCCATACAGGAGCAAAATACTGACCAAACCGAAAGGTTGCCTCTACATCGCCGACTCGGACCAAACGTTAACTTCAACCATACTTTTGAATTCACCTGACAAGGGCATCGACTTCTGCGCTACGAGTCAGTGGCGTACCCAGAAGTGTACCTTGGGGGGGGGGGGGATATATATATTTTTTTTCAAAACATATTTTATTCAATATTATTGGTAACTACAATAATTTTGCACATTACAAAATTAAATCTAAGCGCCTTGGTTTGAGAGCATTTTTTTCAATAATGCCTCACTTGGACGGTAGTGTTCTTCAAATAGGCTTGGCCTGCAGTTCCTACTGATGTTGGAGATAATAAGTTCATAAATCCGCTCAAAATGTCTTTATGATTTGTAAATCTCTCTTCCAGCTGGTTGATGAAAAAATCTGAAGTTTGACCTTTTTATCTTTGAATTTATCCAATATGAGAAAATTATATTATGGTGGCGGAGTCCAAAGAGTTTGGATTGTTTTTATTTTATCTGGAACTGCACAGTGCCACCGTGTAAACAATTTCCAATATCTCCTTGATGGATTTGTTTCAGAGATTTAAAATGTTCATTGGGAGAAATAGAAGCGGAATTTTCATTCAACTCCAACTGTAACGGCAAAGCACTTCCATCAGTTCCAGTTGCTGATGTAGAAGCATCATCATGATCGTTGAATTTTCTTTTGGATAATCTAGATAAATCACTTTGTTTCAACATTATCTAATTATACACTGAAGGTAAGTAACTGGTAAACATTGAACACTCAAACAACTGCGCCTCAAGCATCTCTTACTTAATATAGAACGTACAACTCATTACCTGGAATGAACGAACTGAATGAATAATATCGGGGAATCACAGGCCACAGCCCAAGACCGAAAATCCCAGCGAAAGAACATTCGACCTACACTGAAAAAACATGCTTTCACTATTCGCAGAAATGTCGACATATTTCTGTGGCATATTCATAATTGACCAATTTGGCTATCAGTATCTAATTATTTGAATAATGAAACTGATGAAATGAGAATATTTTAGATCATTATAGGGATTTCCTTTCGTGCGCTCCAAGCGATAAAAAAAGTTGAATGTAATGATCCCACCAGAGTTCAACCCATCTTATTCTCACTTCATAAGTTTATAACTGATGTTATTCTATCGGCATATGGGCCATGGAGGGATATATCCCCCTCTTTCCCCTCCATAGGTACGCCACTGCCACGAGTTGATGCAGACGGGTGCCGAGGCAGCTGGGTAGTTCACGAATCTTGGGCCATCAAGTTATATGGCAACACGGCAGCTCTGGACTGGCAACACTGTTACTTGACATGGAATCCATATACAATAAGAAATAAGAAGAGCGATAATATAGGGTTAGGATCGTGGACCTAACCTACAAAATGAAGAATGTGAATAACAAATTACTACAGCCACAGCCGACGAACGATGAATATTCCAGCTCAAACTTCAACTTATAATATTGGTTGAACATTAAATGAATCCTATGATTCGTGGATTGAAAGAGGTTTGGACGGATCTTGTCCCTAAGTGGTCTTCCATTGATTTGGAACGACCACGACGACCGGGACTTTTCAGATCTCCGAGGCTCTGAGACAAATTTGTTAGGGCATATCGAATTAGTTTTCGGAACTGGCATAACAAAAGCCACTAACAGTAATCGATAGATAGAAAGAATTTATTCAAATACGTTACTTAAAAAAATCTGTATGTAGCAGGTCATATACAGGTTGGTTTACATTTAAAAAACCTTTAAAAAAATCGGAAATTACAAAAATACGAATTCAAAAGTTACAAATACAATTTTACAAATTTCAATTCTGATCACCATGTATCTGGAAATGTGAGCCGTTTTGGTCAATAAAGAATAGCTTCGACACAAACAAACCCTAAAGTTGAAAAATCTCGATTTTCAACACCCTATACCTCTGTAATCATTTCCGATGAACTCCAAGTTTGATGTATGGATGAAATCAGCTCTTCAGGGAGAATCTAAAAATGCAATGAAATACAGGATATTCTATTTGAAATAACGAAGTTGTTGCTACTTTTTGATAGAAGCGGCAACACTGCATTGCTGAAATTATTTAAAATGAAGAGAGTGTATTCTGAAATATAAGCATGCATGGATTTCTCCCGACTGATTCTCGATATAGAGGTAGTGTAAGCTCGTCGTGATATACCAGGGCCTACTCTATCTCACCGGGCCGTAGTCTATCCCCTCTACCTCGATGCTGAAGTCACTCTAGTAGGTTGAGATTTCACATCATTTCATATCGGTGCGTTCGTCATTGAAAGGTTATAGGTCAAAAAATTAGAAGCTCACTGAATCGAGACGAATTGATCCCTGATGAACTACCCAACTTTCGGTAGAAGAATAAATTCATTAGGATGAACCAGTACCCATTTATGATGTAAAGAAATTCAATTTTAATGAAAATCAGGACGTTGTAGAGTCCGACCACGTTAACTTTGGGACAGTATGTGACGCAACGCATATGCATATTCAATGCATACGCGACCACGTGCTGTCCCAAAGTTATCGTGGTCGGATGTTACTAAGGAATACTATTTTTTGCCAATTTGGAATCGGTTTCAAATGAAACTGACTGAGTATGTTAAACTAGGATAATGCATCAATTAAATAGTGAAAAAATCATTGAGCTACCTACAATCGGTCCGATTCTCTAGGAAGTGTTTAACACGGTGGCTAAATTAGTAACGTTGTTATTAAGAACTTTTTTAACCACCCCAGATTTTCCACTATTGATATTTGGTATTCTATAAAAACAACATTTATCAACGTGGTTAGTTTTTTACATTTCCACTCAGTGGTATAAAAATAAAGCCGTGAAGTTAGTCATTCATCAACTATATTATTGATTTCTGTCTTTTTAACGTCAATTTAACCTCCCCCTGATAGGATCCTCGTGCAAGCAATAAATGTAAGGAAGCAAGTATCTGAAATACTAGGCATTAGTTATAAATATTCTCTAAGTACTCTCTATACCTACTGGTATATTACAAAAACTTAACTGAGATTCACTTCTACATGTAGTAGAATAAAAGTAGCCAACTAACGTCTTTCATCTGAGGTTCTATTAATGGTATCAAAACCTCTAAAACCAATACTTTTGGAATGTGGTAACAGTTTCGAAATTTGCAGATGGACTTGTTGAATCCCTCTAAATTCTATTGTTTGATGCTATCCTTCTAGTGAAATAGGTAATTTTCTTTGTGTTCACAAATAATTAGGTAGAAATTTCATACTTTCTTGCCGTAGAATTACCTCTTGTGCAACATCTAGCATTAACAGATGAACATTTCCTTGAAATAGTGCCACATTTCTTTATTAAAAACCTTAGACACTCCACAAATCACCATAAAAGGCTGGTGGATATCTGCCACTATAAAAAGTGGAAAAAAACATAAGTTGTTAATTTATTATCCATCTAGGCCTTCGAGAATCAGAAAATCTTTGAGTGGTTCAAATAACCACTGACCTTCATATTAACCACCTGAATGACAGTTGTTAAAATAACCACGCTCTTAGTGAATCGGACAGAATGAGTCCCAAATAAATTAGAAATAAAGAGCGCGTAAAAATTTGTCTAGTATTATACCTACCTACCTAATTTCCCCGTATTAACGATTTCGCGGTAATTCCCTATTGGTAAAGGACAATGCACTTTTTATTACTCATGTTCCAGTTGTGAGTCTTGATATTTTGAAAACTATATTGAATATTGTGTTGAATAATGAGGTATTACATATGAAATATAGCGGGATTCAGTCAAATAATAAAAAACGAAGAATCATCAGACTTTCTGGATGAATATGAAACTTTGAGCCTATTTTTGAGTTTGTGATATATATATATATATATATACAGTGTGACCCATTTTTAATGGAAACACCCCTGTATCTTACTTAATCGTTGGGTAAGGATCCTGAAATTTGCTGGAGCGAGAGATATACCAAAAATGCTCTCTATGACCAAGTGGAGTCATCTTCAGTAATATACACTGCTCGCCAACAACCATGGAACTACCCCAATTTCTGGAAAATCATATTAGGAGTCATAATAGGTTGAAAATCACTTCGTATTCGGAATCAGGACGCCCAATTCACTAAGTATTCATATTTTTCCTGGAAAATTTTCAGTTCTGAAAAATTTAATTTTGTCGCACTTTTTACGTAAGCACCCCCGTATCTTACGTAATTGACATCATCTTTGGAGTTTCCCCTTCTCCTGAAAATTTCAGAACTCTACCTCAATAATTACGTAAGATACGGAGGTGTTTCCGTAAAAAGTGCGACGAAATTTAATTTTTCAGAACCGAAAATTTTCCAGGAAAAATATGAATAGTTAGTGAATTGGGCGTCCTGATTCCGAATCCGAAGTGATTTTCAACCTATTTTGACTCCTAATATGATTTTCCAGAAATTGTGGTAGTTCCATGGTTGTTGGAGAGTAGTGTATATTACTGAAGATGACTCCACTTGGTCATAGAGTGCATTTTTGGTATATCTCTCGCTCCAGCAAATTTCAGAATCCTTACCCAAAGATTAAGTAAGATACAGGGGTGTTTCCATTAAAAATGGGTCACACTGTATATTTTTTCTACAAACGTCAAAAAATGACAAGGTTCGCGCATTGATAGCAAATTGCAAAGTGACACTTATTTTCAGTTTCCTACGTTACAATATCCTTGTTACAATGATACCTTGCACCAAACAATGTGTGAAGTAAAACAGTGCTCGAAGTACCTACTTCGCGCATTGTTATGTAAAATATATGAGATATTTATATTTCAACTTAATGGTCCTTAATCGAGAATACATCCACGAAATCATTTATTTCTGAATGTTCAACAATAACTTCGTTTTATCTCTTGGAGCGCACGAAAGGAAATTCCTATTATGTTCGTGAAACATCGTGCTCACCTAGGGAGGATAGGAGAGGCCTTTTAAGCCAGTTCAACACCATTTTTTATATCAAGCTAAGCATATTTTTACTTTGAAACTATATTTTTTGACGTTTGTAGAAAAAATTTTGTTTGCAACTCGAGCGCGAAATACTTTGGTCATCTCGACTATTTTTTTAACTCGGCTACGCCTCGTTAAAAAAATCAGATCTCGATCACCAAAGTAGCATTTCGCGCTCTAGATACAAAAATAACTATTTTCTACAAACGTCAAAAAATGACAAGGTTCGCGCATTGCTAACAAATTGCGAAGTGACACTTTTTTTCAGTTTCCTACGTTACCATACAATAACTTCGTTTTATCTCTTGGAGCGCACGAAAGGAAATTCCTATTATGTTCGTGAAACATCGTGCTCACCTAGGGAGGATAGGAGAGGCCTTTTAAGCCAGTTCAACACCATTTTTTATATCAAGCTAAGCATATTTTTACTTTGAAACTATATTTTTTGACGTTTGTAGAAAAAATGTTGTTTGCAACTCGAGCGCGAAATACTTTGGTCATCTCGACTATTTTTTTAACTCGGCTACACCTCGTTAAAAAAATCAGATCTCGATCACCAAAGTAGCATTTCGCGCTCTAGATACAAAAATAACTATTGTTATAAGTACATATTATTTTGTAATATCTGGCTATATTTTCTCTTTTATTATGTGAATATTTTCAGAATGGTTTTCGTTTAGTATTGTGTGTATGAGAACTACTAATTTTTTGTTCTTTTTAATTTTTATATTTTGAAAATTTCAAGTCAATTGATCTTCATCAATATAAGATTATTTCTGAAATATACAAGGTGTTTCAGTTTCTTGTAGCAAGACTTTAACAGCTTGCAGAAGACATTTTTTTAAGATGAAAATCTCATACAAACATATATGCGTGGGAGCTTCGTTTCCGATTTACATGGTGTCAAAGTTTCAGATTTTTTTTTTGTTTTTTGAATTTTCTCCTACAATTCTCGGAATAATTGATTGAAATTTGGTACACCTAATACACTTCAGAAACTTAATATTCGAGGCTATTGAGCGTTTGTAAATACCTACAGGGTGATAGACTTTCAGTAAATGTTTAAGAAATGTCAAATAAGTGTGTTTGAGAAATAACGGTTTTATTACAGGTAATTTATTTTTGGCATTTATCTCGAGATCCATACAGTTTTCGAAAAATTTACATAGGGGCAAAAAGTTTCCAAATTGCAGAGACAATCTGAATCTATGTCCCATTGAAAGCAGAGGCGACACGCAAAAAAGTTCTACAGGGTTAAATTGGGTAATTGGAGTTTTTGAAGTGTATTAGGTGTTCCAAATTTCAATCAATTATTCTGAAAATTGTAGGAGAAAATTGAAAATACATAAAAAAATCTGAAACTTTGACATCCTGTAAATCGGAAACGAAGCTCCCACGCATATATGTTTGTTTAAGATTTTTATCTTGAAAAAATGTCTTCTTCAAACTGTTGAAGTCCTGCTACAAAAAACTGAAACACCTTGTATACTCCATAGCTGAAAATAACTAATTCGCTGTCAGGGTTCTTGCGTAATATCTTCTATTCGGCTAACGTCATCAAAGTGTGTCCAGATTATCTTTAGACATAAACGCTGCAAAAATCCTCTGAGATACAGTAAACGTTTATTATATCGATTTGTAGGCAATGAAATTTCCTACAAAAAAGTCAGTGACAGCATATATCCACAACTGATAGGTTTAGCATGGGGGCCGTCTTAACTTTTTGAACTAGTCTGTAAAAATCAGACGAATCGCGCTTTTACTTGAATTGAAATATCGGTTCGTTATTTGCTCTTGGGAATTTAAAAAAAAATTACAGTTAATCTAGATACCATGAGAAGCCTTTGCATGGTTGAATCATTTTTATGAATTGAATATTCAAAATTCTAGCAGCTGTTTGAAAAACGACAAGTCTGAATGTAGTCAATTCATTTTGATATGCTATATTTCTTGAACTATCAATCGTAAATCAGTGAATATTGATCAATCTCTTGAAAAAGTCTAGTCTGTACATATTTGATCTCTTGACATTTTTTGATAACTGTTACCGTTTTCCCGTGGTACATCAATGAATTGGGAATCGCAATTTCCAGCGCCTCGATTTTGTCCCTACTAGTGTGACGTCACGAAAGCGATGCTCCGACCCGGTGAGATAGAGTAGGCCCTGGACATACCCCATATTGGCACTCCCTTTAACCTTATGAGTTTAGTCGGTTTTCATCTGTGGACACCCTGTATGACAGGTCCTGTTCGATCTTGTAAATTAAAGCGCTTTGATCTTGTGACACCAGCGGTCTATTTTTAGTGATTTATGTCGATGACCAATACAAATTATACATAGATAGCGTCCTTGCTGGCCAACGCTTTCCTGTGCACCTTTCCATGGAGGAAAGACGTCGCGAACACTTTCCCGGGCGTCAACTTCGTCAGGCTCTTCGCCGCCCACGGAAGGCCCGACAGGGAGAACTCCATCATGGAAAAGTTGAAATGCATAGTGCATTATTTCTTGGTGGTAGCCGCTGCAGGTAAGTCGCATCGACATAACAGTAATCTATCTTAAGTCTTTCCAAAGACAATGGGGAAGTTTCCTTCAGATGAATTTTCATGAAATAGCTTTGGAACTCATCAGTTTCATGTCCACGCTGTACAGAATGGCGATCGATGAAGTGTGAGTCGTTTTTATTTTCGAAATAAAGCGATTTCTAATTTTCCGGGCGGCAAACTGAGACGTATGTACCAAGTGGCCAGAAATCTCTGCAAATTATTTTCAAGTTTCCAGGACAGAGGGCATAATTGCATTGGCCAATTTAAAAAACGGTCAGTTTAATAAACTGGTTTTTATGAAAATTTTATATATCAAGACATATCAAAAACATTTTTTCCATGTTCTCGGGTTGATTCCCAATCATTTTGATAAAAAAATTGCGCTAACTCTTCAAATAAAAGAGGGAGGGAAGGATGAATAGTACTTTGAAAAAACTCTCATTACTACAGTTTGGTGTAACGGAATTCAGATGAATCACGAATCAAGTCGATTCAAATCCTGTGGTGGCCGCTATATGGCATCGTTGAAAAAATCAGACAATCTTCCATTTTTTTTTTTTTCGAAAATTTCAAATGGAACCATATATTTATTCTACTCTAATATGGAAGTAGAGCAAACTGGAAGAAAAATGGTGAAACCGCGAATTGATACCTCTTGAGGAACCAGTGAAATACTCGAAATAATATTATGAAAATATTCACCACAGGAATCTTACTTCAATAATCGTAATCAGAAATATCCTGTATCTATGAAATTATGATTTCAATAAAACATTCATTTTGGTTTCACAAACTGCTGTTAAATCTCACAATAGTGAAGGAGACTCTTAGTAAGGACATAGCTAATTGAAATGTAAGTAGTGAGTAAGCTCAGGAATGAGAAAAGGCAAGTTGGCTTTGAATGGAAGAAACATCAAAATATAATTAAAGTTCCTTTGGAAGTTTTCACTGTTCATTGTGGATTGCTTTTTTGTCAAAATGCCGATATCGAGTGAGGAGGCATTTGACATGCTAGCAGTTTAAATTTTAATAATATTCCGAGTATTTCTACGGTTCTTCAAGAGGTATCAACTCGCGGTTTTTACCATTTTTTTCTTGTTTTACTTTACTTCGATATTATAGCAGGAAAAATATATGGTTCCATTCGATATTCTCGAAAAAAAAATGAGAAATTGGCTGATTTTTCAAACGATGCCATCTAGCGGCCACCACGGGATTTAAATCGACTTGATTCGTGATTTATCTGGAAGATCTGAAAAAACCCTTCGTAATAAGACCAAGATCATTGAATTCCGTTACACCAAACTGTAGTAATAAGAGTTTATCCAAAGTACTATTTATCATTTCCTCCCTCTTTTATTTGAAGAGCTAGTGCAATTTTTTTCATCGAAATGATTAGAAATCAACTCGAGAACATGAAAAAAGTGTTTTTTCTGTGACGGGAAAAAAGTTTGGCATTTCATCTCTGTTGGCAGGTTATAAAATGTCACTTTTCATAAATTACTTTTTTCCCGTGGGCAAAAAGTGAGTACTTTTTTCCCGGATATATATCACATATATATACACTGTTGATGGCTTTTGTTGTGCTATAGTTCCGAAAAATGAGTCAATAATACCGTCTCCGAGAAAGAACTGCAAGTCCTTATCTTCGATTCGACTTCGCGGTTACGTATATTACTAAACAACCACTAAATTCGCAATTTTTTAGAATCAAATCACAGAATTAGACTGACAGAAGTGACATCAGATATTTGATTACTTCAAAAGAATGATAAAGATGCCTATAGAACGCAGGTGTCCCTACTGCTAAAAACTTAAAATTTCACGTTGATAATTTTCAGATTTCAAAATAATGTAACATTTTCTCAATATTGATTCGTCCTCTCTTCTGTCACAGAAAAAAATAGTGTATTATACACGGGAAAAATATTAGATTTTAGCTCACGGTTTTTTGTCTCCCTCCGCTACGCGTCGGGAGACAACACAACCTGAAGCTAAAATCTACAACTTTTTTCCCTTGTATAATAAATAACTATTTTGTTATGTCTTGATATATAATATTTTCATAAAAACCCGTTTTTTAAATTGGCCAATGCAATTATGCCCTCTAGCGGCTGTCCTGGAAACTTGAAAATAATTTCCAGAGATTTTTCTTGGCCACTTTTATCATAAATATTTTTTTCCGAAACCTGTGCGGCAAATAGTTTCCGAGATACAGCCGGCGTCCTTTCTTAGTGGTACACCCGGTACATACATTCTGAATCTAGTCAGAATATAGCTAGCGAATATCTAACAAATAACAAACAAATAAAAAATATAGGAAGAAGGTAACTTGGCGTCGTTGTTGATGTTTATATATACATACAGTGTCATTCATAAAGTCGGCATCATATGGGAACAACTTTTATTAATGACTTATTTTGAAATTCGAGTTGGACGTTGAGTTTTGCTCCAAACAAGATGAAAAATGGCCTACTCAATCGGGTTCACGTGACTTTCGCTACATGTCAAAAGTGACATTTTTTCAAATTAATCGCAGAAAGTAGGCTTATTTGTTTTAATATCGAAACAGTTTACTGGAAAAAGTTGTTTCTATTCAAATTTTACATATGTGACTCGGATTTTATCTTTCTAATACATTTTTTAGATTTTGATATTTTTTAAAAATTTTCGAATTTTCTGTAATATTAAAAAAATTGTAAATTCGATAAAACTACTTCATACCAGTAGCTTCATCATGCTACTTAATTTCAATTTCTAATTATCACTAATTATCGACAACCATATGATTTTCTTCAGAAAATGATAATCTCCGCTTCAAAATTCTGTTATGTTTGATGCGAACATAACTTCAAAATTATGTTATGTTTGAGTCAAGCATTTAGAAACGAAATTCATTTAAATTTATTTTTTCAGTACTGAAAATATCAGTTCAAATGAATTTCGTTTCTAAATGCTTGACGAGATATCAACTTTGCATCAAACATAATAGAATTTCGAAGCGGGTATTATCATTTTCTGGAGAAAATCATATTTCTGTCCATAATCAGTGATAATAAAATAAGTAATTGAAAGTAACTAGCATGAAAAAGCTTCTGGTATGAAGTACTTTCGTGGAATTAACAATTCTTCAAATATTGCAGAAATTTCGAAAAATTTAAAAAAAAATCAAAATCTAAAAGTTGCAATAGAAAGATCAAATTCGAGAAGCATGTGTAAAATTGGAATAGAAACAACTTTTTCAAGTAAACTTTTTCGATATTCGAACAAATAAGCCTACTTTCAGCGTTTAATTTGAAAAAATGTCACTTTTGACATGTAGCGAAATTCATGTGACCCCGATTGAGTAGGCCGTTTCTCATCTTTTTTGAAGCAAAACTTAACGTCCAACTCGAATTCCAAAGAAAGTCATTAATAAAAGTTTTTCCCATATGATGCCGACTTTATGAATGACACTGTATATGATTATATCAACAAAAATAGCGATGATCACCTAACAGTGTGAATTTATACAGCATCAATTTACGATTATCAAGTAAAAATGGGCGAGTGGACTGATAATGAAATATTGGCATTCAATTAGTCCACTGTACCGTTAGGAACCTAAATTAATTTATGCAACCATTCTCACGCTTTTCTTTATGTAAATAATGATTCTATGCGTTGTTCGATATTCCTGAATTTCAGAGCACATTTCAAACGAACTTTCATGACCGTCATTTGGCGATACGTCGAATAAATGGTGATGTCAGTTTTTTTGCTGTTTCGTTATTGGTCAGATAATCTTCCACTTTCACTCATGAAGCAAGGTTGATGAGTCCCCAACTATAATCTAGTTAGCGAAAAGATGTTAGAGTCCTGTCGTTGAATAAAATATAATAGGAGGAATCCATTATGATTTAGTTCATTCTTGATTTTTTCGAGCAACCAGCATGTCCAAATGTTTCTTATTCTCCATAACAAAATATCATCTGAATGTTGGAGACTTGGCAAGATTGTGCTGAATGCTGAGAACCGACAAGACCACGCCCACAAGTCGTGCGCGGTGGTTGTCACGTTCACCGATTCACACTCATCTCCACAACCTGCCCATTTTTCATTCCATCAACTGCTCCGGCACCCCCACGTCTTATATGGCATTACAATTCAGGAGATTGGGACGGTTTCCGCATGTTTTTCTCCGAGTTTCCTTGGCATAGAGTATGCTTTGACTCTGAGGACCCTTCATAGTGTGCTGCGGAGATATCCGAGATCATCATGCTTGGAATGGACACATACATACCTCATTTTTCGAAAAGATCATCACCTTCGAAACCCTGTTTCAACAAAAACTGTTCTAGAACTGTTGCCTTGAAACAAACAGCCTACCATCGCTGGCGCAAAAACCCTAACCTCGCGACTAGAGCAGAATACGTTGATGCCAGGAATAACTGCAGCCAAACAATAGATGCTTCGAAAGAAACATACAACGCCAAGATAAGATCGAAACTCATAGATTGCCCCAATGGCTCCCGTTCGTTTTGGTCCCTTGCTAAAGCGGTCGGAAGAAATTTCACTAATAGTTCATTTCCACCACTGTCCAAATCCGACGGCACATTAGCAACAACATCGCAGGAGAAAGCAAATATTTTTGCAGAGATGTTCGCAGCAAACTCTACTTTAGATTAGTCGAATGCCCGAAATCGTCTTCCGTCAACGCACTATCAGACGAATTTTGCTTGGTCTCAAAACGAATAAGGCTAACGGTCCTGATGGAATTCCACCCATTATCCTCAAAAAATGTGCACCAGAATTAACATCGATTCTCTGCAAGTTGTTTACCTACCATCTCGTAGAGGTCGGGTATTTTTCCATCATGCTGGAAGACAGCTAGAGTCCAACCAATCCCCAAAAAAGGAACAAGAACCTGCCCGACAACTACAGGCCCATTGCCCTGTTATCAGTAATCTCCAAAGTGATGGAGAAAGTCATCAATATTGAG